AAACTTGAAGCGGTCTTTGTAACAGCCCATCTCTAGTCCACCATCTCGTCTGTCTCCTCTTACCTGATTAGATATGGACTAGTTATCATTAATGAAAAATGTTGATCAATACTGCTTCTCTTTTAATTTTAAGATTTGCTGTTCATCTTACAATAACATTAATTATCGTGATGTTTATGTTTGAAAAATATGTAAAAAGCTTGTTAACTAATCTTATTATCATTCAAGGGCCAGCCTCCGAGGCTTATGAGACACTTCGTTTTATGTACATATTTACTCCAATTTCACGATCCAATGTTTGTAAAATATGTAACATTAAATGTTATTCTATTACTTATGAATTGTAGTACGATATTAATATAAATTTACTTCTATGTATGTCATCAAGCAGCTCGACCACTGCCTCCGCATTCTGAGCCATTTCAATATAAAGTTGCAGCCAGTAAATGGCAATTATCATTAATTAAATGTCTCCGCAAATATGTCTGTTTTTAACAAGAAGGTAGTATTTATACCCTTGAAAAAGTACATGATACTTTATTCATCCGTACTAAACAGTGGTGGACCGTACCATTCCGTACCGTTTCGTGTTGCAACGCAATAAACCGTATAAGACCGTGCTAATCCTTGCCTCTCCGTAGTGCAACGTATTACGATCGTGGCTTTCCGTGACAATGCCGTATTAATCCGTATTAAAACCGTAGCTTATACGTAGGGTATCCGTACAAATACGTAGTTCTCCGTACAAAACCGTGGAAATCCTTGACAAGTTGGTGGACTACGAATCAGTACGGACTAGTACGGTTTTCATACGGACCAGTACGTATCAGTACGGATTAATACGGACTAGTAGGGATACGCTACGGTTGATTTTTCCGTAGCAAAATTTTGTGCATGTTCAAAAATTGTCAAGGATCGCTACGGATATACAAGGACTACTACGATTGATTACGGTTACAATACGGAGAGCTACTGACCAGTACGGGTAGCTACGGACGATGCCGGAATTAATCCGTGGCTCTTCCGTGGGCGTATTCCGTGAATATGTGACCGGGGTATAAATGGTAACAAACATTAAATTATGAACTATTTTAACGTAATCAAACGTCTATTTCTGCACTACTATATATTATGTTTGGAGTGGTACGTACGTCCTTAAATAGAGTTTATGGTTTTATCTCTGAATGTATATTATCATATGCCATGCCCTAAAAACTGCCAATTGTTAGATTAAGAAGAATTTTAAGTTTTAATATATATCAAAATAGCCGCGATTTTTCAGCATTGTCCATGGCTTGTCAAACTGTTTACATTGGACAATTTCGCATTTTTTATTGCCCTATATTACTCATAGATTCAGATGTAAGATTTATTGTTTTCTTGCTTGCAGTTTGATTATTCTTGGTTTTAATTACGCTGACATATGTATTTTAATTTGCATACAGAATATTTAATTGAATATTTAATTAACCAGACAACCCAGTCCTAAACACATTTTTTAAATATATCAACCAAGGTTATAGTCAAGCTAAACTGTTAAACTATATGAACTAAAGTCTACTGTCTCGTACGATTTTATTGTTTCCACAAACAGTGTTTTCCGACCGCTTTGTTACAAAGCTATGTAAAACTCTGTAAAGGAAAACATGCCTAGGAAGCAACAGAAACAACAATATGACATGAAATTTGCAGACTCGTCTTGATCGAGTATGTTCATACGGGATAATGGAAAAGTGCAAAGTCCCTTATGACCGGTAGCACAGACAAACGGCGTATAAATTGGCATATTACAATTGACATGATTCAAATACTAGTAACAAACGTTTTGAGTTGATGCACATGTATATACTATTGAAGAAAATAATGGCGTCTATAAGTAATTACCTTCACATACATCGGTATGATGACAATGGTGGGTAGCTCAAAATCTATTTGTAAAGGACGCTTTACTTTGTTCTACTTACACAATTGATATTTGTTTATCATAAAACGAATATATGAAACGATCAGATGCTCAAAACTTAAATTTAAACTGTCAATTATAAGAATTAAACCTTTCGATTTTTTTGACATGATTAAACGTAATTTTATTTAACTTTTAACCGACTTAGGCTGGACGATTAGTCTTTGCCACGAGTATTGAGCCAGACAAGGAAGCGCACACATTCGTTCAGCCTGGCTAGGCTCTATATTGTTGGCAGCTCGATGTTTGATATTAAAATCCCTTAAACTTTAAATGAACTGTTCCAAATTCAAAGCTTTGAGACACTTATTTACCAGGGCGTACTTTCATCATGTTTCATAACTCTCTTTTGTCTTAAAAAATACACTAAGTACTACGTAGTTCAAGGCATCATGTGCTGTCTACACAAAAACAGAACGTAGGCAAAGTGATAGTAGCAAATATTGACGTGACAAGAACTATTGTAAACATTAACATTAACGTTTTTATATATCCATAACCTTCACAATGGTGGCATGTTGTGAATGTTCCACAAGGCTCTTGGTATATAAATCTTGTAGCATCGGAACGACATTATAATGTTACGTGTTAGTGCAAAAACTCGTAATTGATGACACAATAATAAACCAACGTCAATCTGACGTATGTCTTTTTTGGCAGGTAGGCATAAAGGATATTTCAAGAATTGAAAATGTTTTATTTTATCAAGGACTAGTTCAAAAAATCTGTAATTCTTACACACTATGTAAAGTGTCATTACCATGGTTTTCTTTTCCTTTTTTTTTGTTTAAGTGAGCAAAAGAATTGCTCTATAAGATGAGTATTAACGTGTTAAGAATTTTGACCGGACTTCAGGAATTTAATAAGATGCTTTATTTGTAGACCAATCGTCCATAATATAAACATACTGGTCTTATTTAAAGTCTGATTTTAAATACCGATAACGTCGTACAGTATTGCTGTTTTTCCCCTTAAGATGCTTATATTTTAACGTTATTCGCAACAAATAGTGGAATAGTCAAATTTCGATGCAATTTCATACATTTCAATATCAAAAATATCAAGTAAGAGCAAGCGGGATATTTTACTGCACACATATAGGATATAAAGGCTTAATTGAATATTATATGATTGTACTCGTATTGTCTTGTCATTTTTAGCCTTAAATAAAGTTCAGGTTTACACAGGGAATTTTTTTATCATGAAGCGTTGAACAAGTATGTATTGCTTGTAAAAGTATTTTTAAGCATTGTTCTATTATTCAAAAATAAATGTCAAGGCATTGCATTTGCATTACAAACGTACACACGTCTAAATTCATGATACACTAACCATATACAATATGAAATATGTGTGGCATTGTAGTATAATAATACGTTTAAAGTATAAAGCAATATATCCTTAGCATAATATTAAAACATTTAGATACGTGTAAACGTTCTTTTAAGAATAACGTTAACAGATGCCTGTAAAATAGCTGAAGAACGATCATTATTTTATGATATGAAGATGGTTCTAGCAAACGGAGTATTGCAAAGTGATTTCATACAGTATGTAGATAAGATAAAACTTTCAAAATGACCTTGGGAATGTCGCCGATGAAACGAAGAACAAGCTGTAAATCAACTAATTCCGTGTTCTTTGCTATTTTGATTTCGTTAACGACATACATTTAATAAGGTGCATATCGAGCTATGAATCACAAGTGACATGGACTATATATGGTATGCTAAACACTATGCTGAAGTGTATTAAAAGTGTAAATACCAAAACAAAAATCAGTCATTGCAAGGCAATTGACAATATTTTATAAATATAAATGTATACATTGAAGAGAAAATATCATTTAACATTTTCATTAACTTTGACTTCTAATTGTTTGCTATAAAACATGTAATAGTTCATTATTTTAGAACAAAGCAGCATAATAAATATCTGAAAGCATTATGGTTTTAACGATGTCTTAGTACCAGGCATTATAACTTGGAATATTGGCATGCGTTAAAACGCTCAAAGCGATTATTAATGGTACTAGAATAATTTTACAATTGGAACATATAACATAAAGAGGTTACTATAACAGCTTGCACTCTTGCTTAATTCAAGGTAATCAAATGAGAATAGCGTGCTCGTATTCCTGCATAATTTCAGAATATTTATATCTACATATCTACAACAAATGATAGACATATTGTAAAATGGTATAATTATGTTGCCAGGGTAAATATATATGCTATTAAGTTCTTGAATGAAGAATTCAGTAAAAATTAAACATTCTCCAACATGACATTCCAATAATGTGCACAGGCAATATAAAATGTTAATCTGTTTCCATTTGCTGTCTGTTTTATTTTGTTATATGTTCCTACTTTTAGTCTCAGATAAGCTAGCGTGTCATCAAATTCTTTATCGCCGCATTTTTAAAAGGGAATTATCATTTACATACATTACACCATCTTATATTCAACGTTTTTTCTTTTGTTTAAGTACAAATCTTACAAGTGCAGGTTTTTTTAGCTTTTTGTGAAGCTAAACAGTCAAGATCTATATATTTGTTATCTTATATATTCTTTCATATCGTGAATATGAACATCTAACTGAGTATCCGAACCTTCGAATGTTTCACTTGAAAATACTCTGCCGCATTTTACTGAATAACACTAACCTGCCACAATACCCACCGTATGACATATGGGGATATTTCTAACCTTTTTCGTTTTTAAAAGGAACGTTTAACCCTGCGGGTCGGGGCTTGGAAGGGGCCCCACCCCGGTTACTTCCATGATCACCCTCAATCGGATTTAAATCTGCATAAATTTTTCTGTTTTGATGTTTTGTGCTTTCTTTAGGGATTCTTGTCTTCTTCATTTTACGTCACACTTTTTATTCTTTTTATGTCAGTAGCCGTTACTCGGAGATTAGAAATTAAGACTATATTTCGTTTCTTTAGGAAGACACCCTAACTATACAATACCAATGTCTGAACATGATATTGCAATGTACAAATAGATTATAGAAGAGAAAAACAGGTACTTACATTTGCATAATTGATGCACACCTGAGCAGAAGGCATGATACCGAGTATCGGGAATAGAAAAATAGGAATAAGTGACGTCACGGCTATCGGCATCACTTCCAAGACCCAAAACACACCAATGATAATCACTGCGTACGCACATTTTGCTACCTGAAATTACATGGAAAATAAAACATATATGAAACTGCAACTGCAATTAGGTTATTAATTGTCATCTAAACAATTAAAGAAGTTCTTTGTTGTTTTACCTCAAGTGACAGAAGGCTATGACCTACATATGGCAAATATTGGTTTTGTGATCCATGGATATGCACATTGATATTATTATCCATGGAAATGCGTACTGATATTGTGAACGTATGTATTGTGGTCTATGGAAATGCGTATTGATATTGTGATCGTGTGTATTGTGGTCTATGGATATGCATATTGATAATGTGGTCCATGGAAATGCGTATTGATAATGTGACCCATGGATATACGTGTAAATATTGTAATCAATAGAAATGTCTGTTGATATTGTAATCAATACACAAGCTTTCAATAAAAGCATTTAAACTAGATTTTCGCTCCATTGATAAACATACAATGTACTAGTATATAATTCCCATACACTAAAATAAACATGGTCAAATTTCATCCTTTGCCATTTTATTTTCAAATTTGCTGGAATAATTTTTTCTTCACTTAAAAAGATGCTTTACAAGCGAAGAGATCTGCTGTCTATATTCCTCATAACAGCATGACACCCAGTCACATAAAATTGCACTATAGGGCAAACAAGGACCAAGTTAGATTCCAAATTGTCCTTATCATATATCTTATATACAGGAAGTACGAAAATACCCACTTTATTAATATTTCATATACTGTTTTCAGGTACATTTTTGTATATTTCATCTTGTATATTTCATCTAAGTATTTACTTAAGTTTATTCGTTATTGTAAAGAATATTCGTTAATATCATAGGTAAAGATTTACTATATCTGGATTTGTGGAGAACAATAATTTATGTCAATCCATTACCTTTATAGACCTACATAGCAACAATATTTTAAACGCGACATGAATTAATTAACCGAAATTGAACAACTTGAATATGTCATTGTGTTATTTCCTTTAATAATGAAAAAAGTGTTGATCTTTGCTTTGCATTCTTTGTGCTACTTTGCAAATGTCTACATAAAGCTATAATACGCATATGAATAAAACATTTTTCTGCTCCGTTCTTGCATTGAAGTTTTTCTTGCAAAAGTAACACATAAAAGAAAGTTTTAAACAAATACACATGGCATGGAAAATTTGTATGAGAGCAAACAAAGCAATAACAACACATGATATGATTGAAATATTTCAACATGTAAAAGAAAGGTATCATTTATCATGTAAATCAGCAATATACTTTATTCACATAACGACATTGCGTAACATTAAAATATAATTTAAATTATACATTTGTACTAATTACAACGCTAAAAACTACTATATATTTTTTAATTTGACATATAACAGTTTAAAAACATTAATTTTAATGTTTCTTATGAAGATGTATGGCCTTATAATTGAACCATGAAACATTCAACATTTGATCATATCAAAAACAAACAGGCGTTTCTCATTTAACATTTCGCTGAACATTTTTTGGAATGCTATATAAATGTTAATAAGAACGAGCGTAAATATTATTAACATGATTTCACCGCCTTTTATATACTCTTAACTTCAGAGTCCGACATATCTATACTAAATGCATATCGTACTATCTATACTAAATGCATATCGTACTCCAGTCCAAAAAATAATATCAAATCTTTATTGAAGTAAATAAGGTTTGTTTAAATGTTTAAAATGGTTGTGTGAAATAAAGAGGTAATTATTCATTGTTGAGAACAATACTGATTATATTGGACTCGTGCGCAGCTACATAACCTGTATCAGACTTGGCTAGTGCCTCGTCCAAAAAAAGATTGACATATGTGTAATCAGTCGTCACATAGACAGTACTGAACTGACCAATTTGTAATGACCCTATATTATCATACCTCACTTGACTTTGCCTGTTATGCACCTAATATTAACCATTGAAAGTTAATATATAATATTAACCATTGAAGGTTAATGTATAATATTAACCATTGAAAGTTAATGTATAATATTAACCATTGAAAGTTAATGTATAATATTAACCATTGAAAGTTAATGTATAATATTAACCATTGAAAGCTAATGTATAATATTAACCATTAAAAGTTAATGTATAATATTAACCATTGAAAGCTAATGTATAATATTAACCATTGACAGTTAATGTATAATATTTAACATTGAAAGTTAATGTATAATATTAACCATTTAAAGTTACTGTGTAGTATTAACCATTGAAAGTTAATGTATAATATTAACCATTTAAAGTTACTGTATAGTATTAACCATTGAAAGTTAATGTATAATATTAACCATTGAAAGTTAATATATATCTCGGTTCGTGCCTCTATAAACATAAACTTTCTCGGGTTAATATCATGTACTATCACCCTCCGAGGACACTGATATTTATAAAAAGAAATACTCTGTCTTATGATATATTGTCTATTGTCTGCCACTCAAATATTCACTACATCTCGAATACACCACTTGTCATAAGCACATCTGTTGCAAATATATAATAATGTATATTTTTGATAGCCTACACTTATCATAGGATTTACCTATATTCATGGAGCAAAATGGATGTTTTTTTTATAAACAGGTTTTAGCTGTATTATACCGGTTCTGAAATGTAAACTGAAACACTGACTCACAGTGTGCGGAGAATAAGCGATGATATACTCAGATAGAGTGATTAACATATAAAACATAAAACAAAATGTAAATAATATGAGTTCATGAAATTTTGCTTTCTGCCATGTTGGGCCATGTTGGGCTTTGATTTATCAACATGGACTTCCCTGCCACGAAAATGTATTCCCTGTGGCGGGCGTAAAACTATTCACATTAATGTATTCACGTGACATTAAAATTAATATGTTTTACATGATACGAAATAAGTATTCACGCGGCATAAGATGTATGATATATGCCACTATATGAGACTTCACATTACAGAAGTTATGTTCCTCGGACTACACCCCAGAGTTGTTAAGTATTACTGGCCTTCACTTATTCCAATACATATTATTTTCTAAATTAAGCCGGTACTGGGGGGGGGGGGGCGTTAGAGATGTTGCACTTTCTCCAAATCAATTCAAGTCTGCAATCTAATCTGTGTTGCCATGTTTCTCTTTCCATGCCACGTGTTCAGTTTTAAAGTGGCGTGTAATGTTTTTACCCTTCGTTCAATATATATACCGGTATATTTCAATTACATCAATTAGAATATTTCACCTGTCTTTTTAATATCTTATTGGTATTAATAAGGGTGTCAAGTTAAAATTACTGTTCTGGTGGTACACATCATTAATATTCATAGACATTAAAACGTAATCTAAATTTCAATCACACTTTTTGTACTTTATAAGGTTGCAAATTTACACCAGAACAATAATTGTTTTTGATTTGAATAAAATCATGGATCTAATGCGTGTTTTTATTGAGCGACCGTGTGATCAGATTTAAAAAAAACCTACAACTAGACAATTGAAAAGATTTTGACAATGGGAGACCATGTTCAGTAGGCCAATTGTTTGATTGACATGGTTTGGCATGATCAAAATTTTCGTCACCTTAGTGCAATAACTGATTAACTGCTATTGAATTTAGAAGGACTGATTCAGTTATTGCACTAAGGCGACAAAATAACCGACGTAGCCTATATATATAACGGTATCAAGGTGGCTCGTGTTCTGTTTTAGATCCAGAACGTGTCTGTGATTTCAACAAAAGACAAGTACGTGTGCACGGGTACATTCTTAAAAATGCCCTATGTACGATGTGTGTTAACAGAGTAATTTAACTACTTGTATGGTACAAATTTTGTTTGGTTTGGTTTCACGGCGCACCAACACAATTTAGGTCATATGGTGCTGAAGGCAGCTATAAAAGAAACACATAAATTCTATATAATACTAGCGTTATGTTTTATATGTTATTAGTTGTATGTAATGCAATAATAATAAATGAAGCGATCATAATAGCATTACACGATCTTAACAGACTAAAATTGCAAATTGCATTGTTCCAAATGCGTTTGCACCATCAAGAAGCATCTAAAAAAATTCATGTCTTCATTTGTCGTTGGTAATTACATGGTATATTCATTAGAAAGCCTTTTTCTCTCTACGTAATATATAAAAGCTATTTGTAAACCACTTTTTACATTACGTTCTGTTTTTAAATGCATATATACTATATTGTTAGTGCCATTGAATGTATTCTAAATTACCAACACCATCAACAAGAACATAAAAAGTTTGTTACATGTTTAAGTCTAAATCGAAATTAATTTACTTTTCATTCTGACTTACTACTGCGAAACTTAAGAACCATTTTCATTAAATTTTAAGTTTATCAGAATATTTGAGAGAGTTTTGATAGTAAACAATTTCTTTGAAGAAAGGTGCTGTTTAAAAATCAAACAATAATGCATCAGTTCAGAAACATGAATTCTAGAAATGTTTGGACAAATCTTTACAAAAAAGTATTTGAAGCACGTTATCGTTTAAAAATAGTTCTATTTAAAGTTTTTAATAACTGATTTTCATCTGACGGAGTAACTTCATTATTCAACTAAATAAATTATGACTCCAGTTGAACTATCAAGCAATGTAATCTGTCACTTAAACACAAAACATGATTTATTCATAATGTAGCTAATCTAGTACCTTACTTAATTTATAAAGCATATCCAGTCTTTTCAGCAGCTTTGTTTTTTTTGCAAAGCAAAGAAAGTGCTTCAATATTGATCCAAATTCTTAAATACAAAAATAAAATATGGATAAAATACTAAATTCAATAAAGCCTCCCATTCCAGTGATTGCTCTATGCACTTACACAGAAAAAAACCAAGATCAAGTAATTTCATCATACATTATATAGATCATTAAACATGGCAAATTTTACGAGGAGAAAAAAGTGAAAACGTCTGGAGGTGTGTTTAGAAGGTGTGTTTTTGTAACCAATAGACTCACAAGGATAAATTTACCTCTTTTTG